TTTATATTGTATTATATATACCTTAAACAAATTGATAACCGTTGTCCTGCTTCAATTGGTTCACGAATCGCATACTGTCAAGTAATCTTTGGCGCTATATTAATTGCAATAATTCTTCTAATTGTGTAGCACACATTTGAAAATAATTTCGAAAGCGCAAATCTTATAATTTTAATATAGGTAAAGCCGTATAATAAAATCCATATCGTCGACGTTGTTGAAAAAATTCTGTTATCCAAGTACATTTCTTTTTATAATGTCGTTTTTTCTCTGATATTTCTGTTGCCCAAACTGTAATTGCACCAACAGCTGCCGTAATCGCAATTTTTGTTCTTTTATGTTTTTGAACGATGTTATATTGACATTCTCTATATGTATATGGCACTGATACTTATATTGAGGTTAAATGTTTTAATATGTTGCTGCAAATTCCTTTTCATGCGCAGCAAATACGGCGGAAGCGGTTTTGAAAAATTTGAATCACGTGACATTTTGCTGCTGCTGCGTGCTGCGTATGAAAAGGCATCTTTTTAATGAGCGAGTGTATACATACATACATACGTGCCTTACGATACGACGCATTTATTGCGCACGCGTCTCAACTTGACCATTTACTGTATCACGTGATATCCGGCATGTCGCACGAAGATTCCTTTTCGTTCTTCCGTTGAAGCTGTGGACTTGGTGTTTGTTCTCTCTTGTAGAGCTAAGGTCGTATCGGCACTATCGACGACTTACACCGATTTTTAAGTTCATCCGTTTCTCAGTAACCAAATCTAAACATCGAAGATGACGACTGAGGCCGAGCTTGCTTGCGTTTACTCTGCATTGATCCTCGTTGACGATGACATCGCTGTAACCGTAAGTATCGTCACGCAGTTTGTTCATCACGTTTACATTATTTTCTCTATTGTACCGGGTATATTCTATTAGCATTTTCATATCTATTTAAAATTATAATATTATAATTGCATTGTCTATGTTATTCCATTTTAACAAAATCTATTCAATGAATCACGTTTAACCTCTCAGTTCGCTGAATTATACACGTGTTCATTTATGGTAAAAATATTATCATAAAAGTTAAAGCTTAAGTTGAATCTTAAAAATTTTGATTTTATCTTTTTATATAATATAATTATATTTAAAAATATTAAGTTTTATATCATAAATATAATTTTTGTTATATTCATTGTAACAATTTTTATTATACACTTACATTTTGTCACGCATATATAGACTATTATATTGTAACAATTCAGATTTTGGTAACAACTTATTAAACATTACCACATACAAATTTTCTTGAGTATAAAATTTGTTAAACAGAATTGTTTAACAGTTTCTGAATCTCACTCGTCACTGCGTGATGAATCAATTTATGATAATTTGTACAAATACCTTATTTCATTAAGATTAAAGAAGCTATCTATTTTTTAAAATAATTTTTTATATATTCTTTTAATTCTTTAAAAAGGAATAATATCTTTATAATTAGAACAAATTGATATTTGCATTTTATAGTAGTAGCGCTTTTTATTTGATTCTGTTATCGCAAAAAATTAATTTAATCATTAGCAAAATTGTTGAATTTTAACAAAATCTGCAAATGATCTGTAAAAATTTGTAAATTGATTTTATGCAGAATGAAAAATAAATATAATGTATTATCAATGTACTATCTTGAATTATTGTATTCTCATGTCACAGGGCGAGAAAATACAAACAATTTTAAAAGCAGCCAATGTAAACGTTGAATCTTATTGGCCTGGACTTTTTGCTAAGTCTTTAGAAGGCATAAATGTCAAGGAATTGATTACCAATATTGGATCTGGTGTTGGAGCTGCACCTGTAGGAGCAGGTAATACAGTACATACTTTTCTATCAATAAACTACTTGAAAACTTTAATTGCAAGCAATATATAGCAAGATTAAATAAATACTTAGGTATCGTTTGGAATATTATTTTATTTGACGATGTAAAAATAATTACGTTATATGTTTACTGTTATTATAAAAATAGACTCCAGGCTTTATAAATAATTGAATCTTATCTTTTTTTAAAACTTTTTGTTTTCACTTATCTTTGGTAATGGGTCATACTCAAGTATTGCAAGTTCATACATGGATATACTTCCCGTTATCTGTTGCTTGGATACATAAGAATAACAGAAATTCAAATTGCTTTTAATAAAAAAAAAGCAAAATTATATGCTTGACATTAACAAATATACAATTACATACATCTAAATAATTTAGAAAAATTTTATGCTTAAGTAAACTATGGAAAATTTACAGATGTTTATTTTCTCCTCTTCATCCACCGATCTAGATAATTTAAATTGCTAGCTCGGTCAGCAAAAGAGGTGAAAGAAATTGGTAACAAACTTTGATATTATCAATAAAGATACTATTTAAAAGTTTTGTTAACAACAGAATAATATAGAAAAATTTTTATTAGATACTACTTATATTGCAATATTAATTTTTATTTGTTGAATAATACTTGTATCAGCAAATAGTTTTTTTTAACTATTTTAATTATTCTATAAAAAAATATTTGTATTTTGTTCTTTTAAAGCTCCAGCTGCAGCGGCGCCCGCTAGCACTGAAGCTGCTCCAGCCAAAGAAGAAAAGAAGAAGGAAGAACCAGAGGAAGAATCAGACGATGATATGGGCTTTGGTAAATTACCAAATTTACATCAATTTTATAATATTTAAATTTCAAAGAGATAATTAAAGAAATAACATATTAATTAAAACATTCAGTGATTAATATAGCATGTATTAGCTACAGAATATACATTTGATGACAATATTTCAGAAATGAGAATACAGTAAATTAATCTTATCTAATGGATATAATTTATTCTATTTTAATCAAAATGCACTATCTGATTACAGGTCTATTCGACTAAGATCAGGGATTATGTTGGTCCATTCCTCTTATGTATGTACAGTTACATTGTACACATAATATAAAGAATAAAACTTTTGATAACAAAAATGTATAAGTTTTTTCAACCACAGAAAGACGATCACAAACAATGAGGATTTTATTTTTTTCTGTTTTATTTATATATGAAATATTCATAAATATATATACAGTCACCAAATTAATTGTCCGGACAATGCGTTAATATATCGATAATTTCTAAAAATTTAAGCTAGAGCAACTTTGTCAAAAATTATTGTAACGAGATCGGAAGAGCACACG